GCGGATTCCTGAACTCTCAAGTACAGAAAATTATATATAGTCATGTGCGCAGGATCGACGAGTCGTACCTTCGATTTTCCCGAAGAGACAAGAAAGGCATGTAGGATGATGCACACTTTCTTTCTCAAAGTGAACATGAGCTCAACTGAGTGATCATCGAGTCTTCATCATCGCACGCACGCATCAGAAAAGCTGTTGGAATGCTCTTTAAGCCAGCTTGCGGGCTTAATCACGATCAAAGATAGAAACATCGCTATCTAGCTGCATCTTACTAAGAATCATTGCAGCGGAACTTTGGAAACAATAGCACTTTGAATCTGAACTGGACAAGTCTGGAGTGCGCGAAAGATACTGTGGATGAACGGCCGTTCTTAGGCAGCAAGTTCTTCACCAGGCATTTGGCAGCCCTACTGATCCAGCTCCTTACAAACGTGACCATCCCTTTGAAGCGTTCGGACTCCTTCGTTGATTTGCAGCCTGGCATTCTAAAGGCCGGCCTCGACCGTTCACTGGCCGTTCGCCTTCGTTCCAACCAACTAGAAGAACAGAACTGAGGCGGCCTCACAAGATTGCGTACCTGGAGCAAAGTATGAATTTACACGAGTCGGCATGATGGCATCTGATCGGCTTGCGATGGGCTAGTACGCTGGTAAGCGGCAGAGTATCCAGTGCAGATTGCGGATCGAACCCAATCTTTAAACGCTCCCGATCAAAAAGATCAGCTGGACAATCTGTTTCGACAAGTTGCTGGAGCAAGAAAGCAACGACATTGAATGAAAGTTGACCAATGTCAGGACAAGTTACTGCTTCATTCATGTTGGTGGGCCGAACGCTGAGTTAAGCTTTTCCGGCTACGTCACCCCACTTGAATGTTTGGCAATGGTCGAAGATAAGTTGGATGACAATCAAGTCGATAACCTAACAGTCGGTTTGTCATCTTGGTTGTGAGGTACGGTTTTAGGATCAGAAGCTATCAACATCCGCAAACTATTTTCGTTCTGAACAAAGCTCCTCAGCAACGTGGTAGCTCCAAAGCCACGAACATAGTAAGTCTTGTCGTACCGATATACATACAAGTCAGCAGAAAACCGATTGGTGTTTCTGGATAACGTTCTCACCTGCGATGTTCCAGAAGAAAGCGTCTAGGAGCTCGATCCCTTACAGTGCTTCTTGTGGCTTTTCCAATGGAGCTTTTGATGTTCCTTACTGCACGGGGAAGAACGAAGACGTCGATTCCCAAAAGATTCTCCACAGAAAACTGATGCTGGAACTGAAAAGAGTTTCGCGGCACGCCAAAAGATGCGCGCCGTCTCGAAGAATAAAATCAATCCCCAGCAAGGGTCTAAGAGATCCTTGGAGGGTTTGATCATGCGTTTCATGTCCAGCTGCTCCTTTCATTAGAGAAGAAACAGACAGAGAAGCGTTTGGAAAGCACGTAAGGTATTCATGAAGGTTTCAGAGTGAACATAGAATCGGCAGATACATACGCGAAGACCTGAGGAAGCAGACCGGTACCCGCGAGCAGATCTTGTGAGTGCATTTAGGCGTTGGCTCCGGTGGTCCGCTAGAAACGTCGCGTCAAAACTAGGGTTCAAAAACAGAAACGACTATGCCCAAGCTCGTGTCGAGACCATGCTGTACGACCTCCTCAAGGAAACTGTTAGAAGGGTTTGACGCTGGGAACATATGAATCATTCTGAGAAGTCTCTTTTGTCCCTATTGTGGCCTTTTTACTCACCTGCAGTAGAAGGCGAGCGAGCAGTTGGCGCACTTGCTGAACGTTCTGCCTGCGTCCAGCATCGATCCAGTCTCGCACAAATCCCAGGAGCACACCACTGGCGCGCCGGTACGACCGCTTGCCCAAGCTCTCAAGGACTTTTCGAATTCCTGGGAGTCTTGGTCCACATCTTGCAAAGCGCCGGCAGGGAAACCGGTTTTGACTCCCAGATTAGGTCCCACTGACGCTAAGCCACATCGGACACTGTGCAGAAACTTGTCTCGCAGCCTTTTTGCCAGCTCCGGGTTCCCCGGATTTCTCATCGCCTTATCAGCTTCCAGGAACTCTGCTTCATACGACGAGAAGTATCTGCGCAGATCTGAGTTGGAAGGACGCCCAAAGCTTGACGTTGTAAAATTGGCCTCGAACCCGTGCTCAAACACCTGATCCATTCCAGCGAGTCTGAAGAGTGCTGCGTAGATCGCACCATTCCGTTGTCCAGGGCCCACTCTTGGCTGTCCTCAAAGAGCGCGAATGTGTGCATCAGCCTTTCCATATTTCTATGCAGTCTCCTGATGGTCTGCGCGCTCGCTAGGTCAGTGATGTCGCGAGCAACGAGACTCTCGAGGGCGGGGAACAAACCTTCAACTGCTTGGAGTGCCAAGCGGAAGGTCTTGGAAGCGCGAGAGAAGTTGACAAAGCCTCTGATGTTATCCACAGCCGTTCCAAGGCAGATATCCTTCTCGTCATCATCTCCAAGCACGTGATCTGGGATATACCTTGCGCCTCGCAGCTGACTCGGAATGATGCGCATACAAGCCTCGTGGCAGTCCATCAGCGCCTAAGCAATGAGACGCGTCTTATGCTCCTCCTTCACGCAGAACCTTGCGACAACCTGGCTTTCGCTGAGTGCCACGAGCGTTGAGGTGGAACAGTCTCGAAGCATTCTCATTTCGAAGCTGACTGGCGGAGGATCTCTACGCATCTGTTTTAGAAGCTTATGGACAAGGGCCCCCCGCTGGTACGCCAAGAGCTCTTGGAGTAGCCTGGAATACTTGATTCTAGCTGAGGGCTTGTCATCAGACTCTATCCGCAGCGTTTCTATGCATTCAACGGCAGCATCTAGATCCTTGTAGTTGTTTGACAACAACTTTAATGCGCAGAAATCAACCTTCATTTCGGTCTCCATGCCCGATCAATCAAGGTTCTAGAGCGGCCAGCAAGCCTACACCCCCTTGCAGACCCCAAAGACCTTGCATGTGTTTCCAAATTGAAGCCCTGGCTCCCGCATAAATTCTTGAACCCTGGGTTGCTGATCAGGAGGGGGTCACATATGAGCAGCGCCCAGGGCTGCGCGGCTGTCGACCCTCTTGACACTCGCCTCTATGGATCTCTTTGGTTCTAAATTTTCTCTCTAAGCCAGCATCCATTCTGCACGAAGGAAGCTTCTCTAGCCAAGGCGGGCGGTGGGCGCATGACGAGCATTCCAAAGGCCGTAAAGTCGATTGAGCTTGAACTGGCTGAAGGCTTAATGCAAATGCCACGGCCGCGCGCGACAATCTTGCTCACGGGCAGAATCATCAGCCTATTGCGCCATGCATCCCCAGTCGCGCTGTGACGTCTGCTGAGCTTGACGAAGCGGTGCACTCTGGTGCAAGCCCATCAAATCAATTATCAGGACTGATCGAACGTTCAGAGATGCAAATGATATTCGGCTCGACACTGGATCGACCCGCGAACGTCACAGCACTGAAAGCCGAAGTCGGCTGGGCGGCTTCTCCAAGGTGCTCAGTAAGTGCCAATCCTACGAACACGAACAAGCCTTTAAAAGTAGGCGTAGCACTCAAACCTGACGCTTTATGGCACAGTAAGTCCTTACCAGATGCAAGGTGAAATCGTATTATAAGTCACCAGATTCGCATGTCGAGCTGCAGTGGTGTGCCTCAAGTTGTCTGATGGCTTGCCCACTTGAGACGTCATGGGACATGTGCAGGGCAGAAGCGCTAAGAAAACGCTTTGTCCTGCATGAAGACGGCGGCCAAGCTGATACACAGCGTTCTCCATGATTTAGAGGAAGAGCATACGGAGTCCGCCAAGAGGCACATCATCGAGTGAACGACCGGATGCGTGGTCAGAGTGAAACGACAGTATTGCACACTCCCAAGCTTGCGGGATTGACTTTCCCACAGAAAGCTTCCGCCTGCGTGATCACTCAGTGGAGGGGAATTTAGACATTCAATTATTGCTCGAAATATTCTGATGAGCAGGCGGTACACATCCATATGCAGCTACCCGCAACGGACAGAATGATTAGGCAAGGCTGCTGCAACCATGCATCATTTGATAAGTAGGTAGGAAAAACTCTGAGGTACACGAGGCTTTCAAGCACGAAACGAGCATGTATGCCTTATAAGACAGACTTGGACTAAAACTACAGCTTCTAAATAGGGACATTGCATGCAAATTTGGTTGCTGTACTCGATCCAGCTACTCCTTGCAGGCCATGCTCCCCCAGCGCAAAAGGATGTGGGACAACGGCCCGGGCAAGAAGGTCTGGAACAAATTTTCTTTCCAACGTAGAGGAACCTGATAAACATTGATTCAGTGGCGTCATCGTTTTACTTATCCTCGCTTCACGTGACCAAACGCCTCCATTCTCAATCCCTAGAGCAGCAGCGTATTCAGGTATACTTACTCGCGTCCGCATCCCTGCAACACATCACAGTGCGAAGATGAGATCACACGCTTTCGGTGGAGATAATGAATGGCGCATACTACGAGTTCGAGGTCAATGATTCAACGGTGTTGAAAAGGCGATTACAAGTGAATCAAAATGATAAACGATCGGATTCCGTGCCTCTTTAATCCCTTTAAGCTACCCTATCTGGCCTTTCAACAAGCGCTGAAGATTTCGTAGTATGGTTTCAAAGCAGACGGCGACGGTCTGATGGGTTGTCCCGCATCACATCACGACCACTTACAGAAGGTACTGGGCCTTCTGCCATTTCTTACAAGTTTGGTGCAATCGGCCCCTTCTTTTTACCGAAGCTTCTCTACCCTATCGTTTGCTATAATGTATGCGATTGCCCACCTCGAATCGAAAACCGTATTCCTTTCTGGTGACTAATCTGCCTGCTTCAGTTGAACCCTCTGGCTCACAACCACATTGCTGTGAGAAATTTTGAGTGCGCATCAGCAACTTTCGCAAGCGCAAAATTGTTCGGAAAGTCACAATCATTGGCGCATGACGGGCCTTACCAGAATTGTCCATGTGTGCAGGTGCCTAATCAGACGTTTCGGCTTTGCACTGCTTCTTGTGGCTCGTCCAGTGGAGCTTTTGGTGTTCCTTGCTGGATGACGGAATACAGCCTTGTTAAGTGGTCGTGTTGCCAGGAGAACTGCTGTTGGGAGAGCCCTTTACCGTTTAGCGAGACAAATGCGGCCTGCGATCATTTTTTTCAAGCAACCGAGCCTTCATTTGTTCCTGACTGAAGTTGGCAGACCCTATCAAAGCTTCGAAGTGAAGTATACGAACGATCCAGATTGAAGATTCATAATATCTGTAAGCCATAATATTCTGACACGTGTAGCCCATGTCGCACCGCTGTTGCAGCAGAATCCACCTAAAAAGTTTATGATGGGGACAAGGAAAAACGAACAGGAGCAAGAAACTATAGTGGAAAACGAGATTTCCGAAAAGGTCAATGAAAAAATGAGGTTGATGGCTAACCGACTACCGTTGAAGCAAAAAGTCCAGGCTACATCTGGGATAAATCTTCGTTCAATTCGAGCGCAGAGATTGCGCTTTGAAGATATCGGAGCAGAAACATGTTCAGCTCACCTGCAGTAGAACGCGAGCGAGCAGTTGGCGCACTTGCTGAACTGCCTGCCTGCGTCCAGCACCGAGCCCTCGGTGCACATCTCCCAGGAGCATACGACTGGCGCGGCGCTGCTACCGGCTCTTGCGACGGCCTTCGCGAACCTCAGACCGTCCTGTTCGGGACCTTGGGCGACGGAAGGCAAGCCACCACATCTTTCCAGAGCTGGCCATCCCATCGTGGCCAGTGCTCCTTCGTTCATATCCAACCACTCCTGACGCAGCTTTCTCGCGGTGTGCGGATCTCCTGCGTTTCGTATGCGCCTGTCGAAATACAAGAGTTTCTTTTCGGACGACTCGAGATGCTTGCGCAACTGCCAGCTGGTGGCCAAGGGGACCGACCCGGCGCTGGACGGCCCGCCTAGCTTCTTCCAGCCCTTGACGAAACCTTCTGTCACTCCGTCTAACCGCAGCAGCCTTGCTGCTGCTGCGTGGATTCGTAACCGTCCGCTGTCAATGGTCCAGTGCTGGCAATCTTCAAATTGGGAGAAAATATGCAGCAGACGGGAGACGTGCTTAGCTGCCTTCTCCTGAAGGTGAGCGCTCGCGCGCTTCGTGATGTTACGAGAGACCAGGCTCTCGAGATCTGGGAAGAAAGTTTCTGATTGCTGCAGCGCCTGGCGAAAGTGCTTTGAAGCTCTAAAGAAGTTCGCGAAGCCCTTGATGTTCTCCAGCGCTAAGTCCAGGAACTCGTACCTCCCCTTGCCCTTTTCCCTCTTTACCAGAAGTTCGGAATCCTGAACAGGTTTCGTTTCCCGCAGCTGCCCTGGAATCATATGCAGGAGGTATGCTTGCGCGTCTAGAAGCGCCTCCGCAACAGGGCGCGCTCTTTCCCTCTCTTTCACGCAATACTTTGCGACCGCCTCGTTTTCGCTGAAGAACACAATAAGTCTACATGAGTAGAGCTGCCGAATCCTCATCTTATCACTGTCTCCGGGAGCTGTGAGCATCTGTTGCAGTAAGTGGTCAACGATGGCGCCACGCTTGTAGGCCATCAGCTCCTGAATCAGCCTCGAGCAACAGATCCCGGCGGAATATTCGAAATGCTTTTCGAAAAGGTCTACAGAGGCAATCAACGATTCAGGAGTGCTTGATAGGAGCACAGAAGCGCAACTATCAACAGCTTCCTCCATCTTCGAAACCAAATACTCAGCTACAGCTTGTTCAGAGCTCCACCGGCACAAGTCTCTGCTTCCTCATGCGCCGCTGAGGCTGGTTCACTTTCAAGAAGGTGGGTACCTTGAGCTTGCCAAGTATCGCTTCATCAAGTAATCTCCTAGTTTTGAGTACTACCTGACGAACGTTGCGTGCAGATTGCACTGCACCTGGTTCCTGTATGCGCAAGAGCCTCAGCGCGCTGGCATCCTCGAGGAAACTCAAAGCAAGGGAAGCACCGTCCGTTGCGCAAGGTCAGAGAAATTTGTGGCTCCAATCAGCGCCTCAAGTCTGCCGAAAAGAGACTAGCGCCTCCTCGTTTTCTTACACCTTTTGCTACTGCTGCGCCTGCTCATGGTGTCTTTGATCAAAAAATGCGCCTTGCATGCGCCCGCTGAAGCTGTCTCGTTTCTCAGGACGAAAATCACCTGAGGCTGAGCTGCAGAAGATCCTTGCCAACGCAAACCTTCCTTTTCAGATTTTGAGGGTGCTTGCGCGAAAACTGCTTTATTCAGGACGTGACGAAGCGCTCTCGCAAGTCTTCTAAGGTTACACCAATGTACTCTGAATGTACTGCGACCGGGAGCATCATGTTTGCCTGTTACAAGCATTCGTTTTCTTAGTGTTCATCGAAGCCTCAGTTTTTTGCGATTGTCAACCCCTGATTGCATACCCGGTTGACGTACGCACGTTGACACTGGGCTTCTACGCAGCTTCTGCGCAGAAGAGCTTCAACATCATCTGCCCTTTGCATGTGCAGAAACCCGACCGCGATTGGGGACATGCATTGGCAGGCCAACGTCAAGAGCTTTCAGAGCCAGGTCTGGCCTGGTTGAACGGGTCATCTGATGCAATTCTCCTGAGCGATCCTGGCAAATAGCACGCGGATCTGGGTTTGCAAAGTTTGACAAGCATTGGAACAAGCACATTGGAAGGTGCGCGCCGCCTGTTGGACTCGTGCTTAAGACAAAGCAACTGAGGAGTAGAGCTGGGAGCCTTTGTGTGTATGGAGCAGCTGGTCGAAGGATATGCCTGCAAGCTATCTTCAGATGACTTCAACGAGGTCGCCAAAGTGCGCAAGGAAATAGAAGATCAGGGGTGCAGGGCTCAGATTGCATGCGCAAGGAACGATCCCTCTGCCAGGCTCCAGTATTCCAGGCTGCTGCAAGAGCTTCTGGCCTACAAGCGGGGTGCTGTGATTGATAAGCTCTTGACTCAGGCGCTCGAGTCGCGTCCTCAAGAAAGCTCTCATAGAATGCAACTTTCTCTGCAGTTTCATTCAGTCCTTTCTATAGCGGATCTAAGCGAGAGCCAGGCAGTGGCAATCTACTGTCTAAGCGAGCATGAGAAGAACAATTGCAACATGCTCCCTGGAGCACTCATGGATGCCTTCCTGCTTTGCATGGCTGGATTTACTGATAAGGACATCCGCAAGGGAGTTTGCCAGGAAGTATGGCTGAGATGGACCATGGTTCTTGTAAGGGGCTTGGTCAACTTTGCGCGGGTCTCGAGACAGTTCCGCAAAAGCCTGCAGGAATTTGGAGAGACACTGTTTCCAGCCTCGGAGATACTTCTCTCTGAGGAATTCGAGAAGACGATTTCGCGGGAGCGCGCTGGCGAACCTTCAGTGTACATTGTTCCTCTGATGCACACATTCATTCTTTGTGATGACACCCAGAACTGGGCTATTGATCAAGGGCTGATCAGGATCCATTTGGCAAACCACAGAAAGTTGATGCGACTCATAGAAATAACATTTGAAGACGAGCCAGCCGTTCTCAGACGAATGAAGGAGGAAGACACAATCAGAAGTTTGAAGATCAAAGAGCGATGTTTGGTGGATCTCCAGAAGAAGATTATGCATCCGAAGGACCCGCAAAGTGCAAGCGTGTGGCGAAAACGATACCTGAACAAGTGCAGAGAGGACCTTATACTCGAAACTCGACTGCCGTTTGTAAGGGCTGTTTCGAATCTTGACCTGAAGAGATCCCCCGGATCAGTAAAATCGTTGGCAGCCTGGGCTAGCAAACGCAGGGAAACGCCGATTGTGTGCTCCTGGGAGCTGTGCGAAGCGGGGTCTGTCGTTGATGCGGGCAGACTCTTCAGCAAGTGCGCCAACTGCTCACTCGCGTACTACTGCAGGTGAGCAAGCATGGTCAAACCTCTGGAAGGCACTCAGCATCAGAAAAGCAGTCGATTTTGTGAATAATATAGAGGAATATATCGGTCACATTCATCATGAAACTGAGGAGTGTTGGAAAGCTGGAACGAGACACACCGACAAAAATCCCTTTCGGCAAGTCCATCTGTTCGCCGCACGGAAAGACTCCCAGCTTCAAGGCTCAAACTGAGGCAACATCCTAGCAGGATAACTCAATCTGGTCAGACCCTCTGTGCGCAAGGGGTTTTGAAATAATCGTAGTGTCTTCATTTGACGCACTTTCTGAGCATCTCAGATCTGTTGAGCATCCTGAAGCAGCCCTTAGGTCCTCGAGGAGTCAACGAGCATCAGGAAGATTCGACCTGTGTTTGTCTTCTGTTTGCTCTCTTGCAATATCACCAGCGGGAAGCACCCTCTCTGAGTTCTCGAAAGAGCCTTTCGGCTTGCGCCCTTTTCTCCCAACATTTCCATCTGATCATCTCGTCATGGTTTGGAATCTGATTCGAGCTAATAATGCAGAGCCCCTGCTTAATTAGGCTCCAGCTTGACAATAATCTGGCGGCGCTACGCCGCTGTCTTGTCAAGGGCCTGAGTTGAGCCCGACTACTGTTGCTGAAGCCATTGAAACTCTGTTGGTGCAGCAAGGACCACCAGAAGAAGCACTGGCCGAGCCACAAGCAGCACTGCAAGCTCGCGTCCTCGACGATCGACTCGCTTCTTGAAGGCTAGGCTTCCAACATCGTGAAAAAAAGATCTTTGAAAGCAGGCTCGAGAGGACTTTATCAAGAGTGCACGTTCTTTGACAATCGGCCGTCGTAGTTCTCGCTAAGATCTGAAACCGCGGGCCATTTGATGATGTTAAGTTTACGTCTTCTTCGATTAGGTACACCCTTGTCAAGCTTTAGTACTTTCTCTTATCAGAGTTGAGCATCACGAGCCCGGGTTGTCTGCAAAGGGGTCACGATCGTCTAGTTCTGCGAGCGCAGCGGATATACAATAGCAGTCTTTACTCACATATGACCTGGCCGGCCGCTGCCGCCGCTCACGCTCACGTAAAGTGAGGCGGTCGGTGCACTGGCATCATTTGGCCGATACATGTTTCGGTCATCGATCATTTGCACCAGATTCGATATACGAAGCGAGACTCAACCGTATATGTGAGATGCAATCCGGCGCACTGGTACGTGGATGCGCACGTTGCACCCGGACGGTTGATCGGATCGTAATGGTTACGTGTACGTGACATCCGACTCCAGTGGGTCGGACGCTCAGAATGAGTTCAGGGGCACTTCGCACCTTCTCATCATGTGGCGCATCACATCGACGGCTCGGGCGAGCGGCGTAATGTGGCTGCCCCGCATGCCCCTCACGAACATGGCGCGGACCTCGATCGGTCCGACGGACATGCAATAACTGAATTTGACTTTATGATCTTTGCAGATGCATGCTGCCATGCATTTACTCGTAGTCCGCGCGGCCGTGGATGTGCGGCGGTCCTGCCATGCTGCTATATGCAGCGTGAAACGTGGAACTCCTGAATGCATGAAATCATCTAGCACAGGAATCAATGTTGGTATGTACGTACAGAACCTGACGAGGAAAAGGGACCTTTGGATCAAAGGCATGAGGGGAAAAATGATTTCTGATATCATATCTCGAGGCACTCCGCTCAATATGATGATTGATCGCGAATACGGTTTGAATCAAATCTTATGACGCCCGCTCCATCTCTAGCTGTTTATCTGTACCTGCGGCGGCCAACCTACTGCAGCCAATACATGACTGGCCTATTCGTTGCGGCTCAGAGGTTATGATTTTAGTTTTTAACCATCTCCTTTCCCTTCCCGGCCCTTGTGTTTTCGCCTCTTGGGCCGCTCGATCTCCTGACTCCGTCCCCCGTTCTTTCTCTTTTTGCGTGCTTCTAACACATCCTCGAACCCGCTCTCGGACATCTTGAGAGCGGCTACCCGGCGGGCTTTATACACCTGCGGAGTGGAAAGGCATCAGACGTAACGCCCTCGAAAAAGGCCGTCGAACGAAGAAAAGCACAGAAGGAGACGAAAAATCTTGCTTACCGTTGGACAACGAAAGACACGGATATTTTGCGGCGAAAACAGGAGAACACCACTTTGGCCATAGAATCTTCTGCAACGCTGTGCGATCAAGCGATTTTCGGAGGCACGCCGAAGTCAAAGCATGCTCCGTCTTTCCAAAGTCCCAACAACGAAGCTGCTGACGCCCGACTTTGCCGGCAGATCATGGGCTGGGGGGCCACGTCAACAACACGCACTGATTTAACTTTAGGTAGCGCTTGCGAGCCAAATGTTGGTAAAAAACTTCTGTCTGTACACTCCTCGTGCAGAGTGCGGTGTAGATGCACAACCGGCTCTCTCACCCCACAGACCACAAGAATTCATCCTCAGAGCCAGATATGCAAGCCTACCCTTCCCAAGGTCTCCCAATTGCCCACAGCTGCGCAATGACTCAGAAGCTCCATTTAGACCTTCGTCAAACGGAATTCAAGTCGGTCAAGGATCCTCCAGGCTGGTTCGTTTGCAATTTAAACTCCGTCCTTCAAATGTTTTGCACTTTGAAGAAATCAGCTGCAATCGGCGCAAAAACACCAAGTGACTGAATGGCTTGACGACAACAATCAACTGAGGCCCGGGAGTCCGTCAATTCCATCTCGTCGCTCACCTTCGTAATTCCTTTCAAAACTTCGTCCTCCACCACTGTTCGCTCCTCTAGTTGCCTCCCCAGCAGACCCTCTATGCTCTGTATCAGCTCCACGTCATACTGCGTCACCAGGCTTACCGCCCCGCCCCCCCGCCCAGCGCGCGCTGTACGTCCGACCCGGTGAACGTAGTCCTTGGCATAACTGGAAGATACGAGCAGAGCCTGTGAGAAGCCGCTTTCGAGAGGCACAGATTAGAGGTGCAGGCTGTGCAGTTCGGTGACAAAGATTGGCTCCCAGCGTCCCGTTCAGGCGAGCGACATCATAAAGGTGTTGCTGAAGGGTTGAGTCTGCCAAGTGGATGACCTCAGTGACGAGGGCGGGTCGAACTGAGCACACGTGATCACCGAAGCAGCCCAGTATCGGCCACTTTGTTTCTAACGTCAGCTGCTAACCCGCCCGCCAATCGGCTGGGGCCCTTCGGCTGAGCCGGCCAGGCGGCAGTCATGCCGACCTTCAGTCTGGCTCGATGTTCGAAGTGTTTGGACCTAGAGACTGACGCTTTTTTTACGTGCAGAGGATTACAACCTGAACACCTCGTTGCCACAAACGATCAACGTTGCAAAATCACATTACGAAGAATCTCGCTTCCTTACCTAATAAGACGATCCTACTGTTCCATCTGCCTATGATACAAATCGGACTATTGAAGCCGATATTGATGGTGAGTATGGCAAACCCCTTCCTTTGAGGATTTTCAGCCTCCCCTGTACGACTCACGACGTCAGACAGCCTAACGCGAATCTCACCGTGGGATGTCGTAGTTGATGACCAGATCTACAGTGGGGATGTCGAGCCCCCTGCTGGCCACGTCCGTCGCCACGAGCACCGGTACTGCTCCAGACTTGAAGCGGTCCAGGGCCGCTAGGCGCCGGTTCTGGGAGCGCGCACTGTGAAGGGCGACCGAGGAGATCTCGAGCTCCTCCAGGAGTAGCTGGAGCAGTTGGGCGGACCTGGTCAGGAGGGGTAAAGGGAGGGGTTATGCAATCGGTAAGCCGGGGTTGGCAAAAAGTGGAAGGGAGCAAGGGGGGGACTTAGGAGGGTGCGAGAAGCGCGCACTGTGGAGGGCGACCGATGAAATCTCGAGCTCCTCCAGGAGTAGCTGGAGCAGTTGGGCGGACCTGATTAGGGAAGATGCAGGAGGCAGGAGTTAAGCAGGGGTCGAAACAGGACTGAGAAAAAGCTTAATACGCGAAGAGAACAAGCAGGTTCTGAGACACGACGACGCGTCAACAAACATACAAGCTCGCATATCTGGGCACGCAGAAGTTGGTGCCCTGAAAGCAGGCACAAAAGGTATCATTGGAACCGCTTTGCCAGCCTTGCTGTATCCCCGCATAGGCAGGCGCAACCCAGCGGTACAGTCTCGGCATAGATTCCACCAGATCTCAACTAAGAACCAGTCTCAGCCCATCACTACTGCCATAATCTCGATTTCACCGAGCTGCTCCAAACAAACCACCAACTTTGCACTAACTCACTTGCACGTAGACGTAAAGATGATGACTGAGCGCACTTTCTGCTCCTCGAGCCCGTCCATCAGGTGTGTCAGATACACGTCCTTGACGTTCGCCGGGACAAACAAGTACTCCTGCTTCAGGGCCTCCACCGTGCGCAACCCCTCGTACGCCTGGAAGTGGAACGGCGCCTTGCCGCCTGTCATTGGCGTGTCCTGAGCAGGGGAAGAGGACAGAAGTTCAGAAAGCAAATCCGAAGGTGTCAAAGACCCCTGGCGGGCAGGTAGGAGACTGGGGGCATGTTGGACGGATGATAACCACTTTCTGATGAGGTGAGGGGATCTAGAGTGCCTCAGCATCCCCTCATATGCCTTATAGTCCTGAGATTGATTGGCGCCAATTGGTGCACCCCGTCCTTGACAGTGGTAGAGGGCAGAGGTCTAGCAAGGCAAACTAAGAGTATAGGACACCCGGGTCCCTGCCCATGCTCTGATATGCCCTCTGGAGCACAGGGTATGGACAGAGTGGCTGCTTTGCAGGGAATCCAGCTCTCAGGTGCAATTTGCACGGTTGATAATTGCATCCTGACGAGGGAAACTTTTCAAGGGCGATCAGCAGGAACCACTAGCCAACAGATGTTTCAGATACTTTGAGCTCCTTACGTAACAACCTGAGTCAAAGAGTATTCTGCCTTGAACAAGGGCCCCTGAGGGAGTTGGAATGCTGTTGTAATGTCAAAATGGGACAAAACGTCACTTATCTACCACTTTCAGGCTTGGCAGGGGTTCATGATGAATACTCCACCTTCTCGGAGCCCCACAACTCACCTGCAGCTGCCTCAGATTCTGTGTCATCGTCGCCGAAAACAGCAGTGTCTGCCGCTTCTGCGGCAGCCTCTTCAGTATCCCCCCCATCTCTTTCTCAAACCCAACGTCCAGCAGCCGGTCCGCTTCGTCGAGCACCAGGAAGCGCAAGCGGGAGAACCATCCCGCCATCTCCTGAGAGCTCTGAAAGTGGTCGTACAGGCGGCCTGGGGTGGCAATTACGACATGCGGCCGCTTGGAGAGGGCCACTGCTTGTGACGTCATCTCCATGCCGCCAATGACCACGGCATCGCGCAGGCCGAGCTTGGAGCCCTGGAAGAACGATTTAAGGTAAACCTTTTGACTAAGGTTGTGACACCTTTGACCACTTCGGTATCTCTGTGATGCTAAATGCTAGAAGCTAATCAACCAAAAGAGTGATCACTTTACGCAAGGACTGGGTCTGGTTCTTGAAGGCCCAAACGCCAAGTGGTCCCAAACCCTAACCCTAAAATCTGTCGATACTGATTGTACGCAATAGTAATATGCCTCTCATTGTCCTTGATCAATTTGATGAACAAGGATCATCACAAGCACAACACTTCACGTGATAAGCTTCAACAGCCAATTACCACCATTACCATCGAGATCATGAAAGGACCCTCAAATCTGCATTACTTTCATTACTAGGCGAACCTCGCCCTTGTCGCCACTAAAGCTGCAACACTGAAACAAGTAAAGGCATCTCACCAAGGCCCGAAACTGGTCTGCAATCTGGAATGCCAGCTCCCTTGTGGGCGTTAGCACAAGCGCAAAGACCCCAAAAGGATCCTCCGCCAATTTCTGCAGGATTGGAAGCGCAAACGCTGCGGTCTTCCCGCTCCCCGTCTGAGCGCACCCTATCACGTCCTCTCCTCGCAACACGTGTGGCACACAGGCTCTCTGCACTGGACTCGGCTTGGCAATCCCAAGCTCTTTGAGGGTCTGATCCAGCCACTCGCCGAGTCCCAACTTCCTGAAAGTGATCTCCTCGTCTTCATCTATAACCTCTGGTGCAGCATTCTTTTCTACAGAAAGAGCTGATGGCTTTGAGTTTGTCAAGTGGTGCACAGCGGCCTGCTTCTTGGCTCGCTTTGAGAACATGGGAGGGTCACTCTCAGCAGCATGTTTTAGGGCGCTGGTAGATACCCCGGAAGAGGCCCCCGCCTTCCCCATCGCGCTGTCTAATAGAACCTCAGCACACTCTCCTACTTTTCCAGAGCTCCATTGCGCAGCCAGCTGGCCAGCAGAAAAGCCAGCTGGCTAGCACTTCGAGGAAAGAATTCCAGCGCCTCCCGCGGGGTAGACCCTACAAGAGCACGACCTTCAAAATTGATCCGGACGGTCGCGCGAACTTTCACTCTATGAAAACTTGTCGCACCGTAGACTGCCGACCTGCTGCCAACACTTGGCGAAATTCCGTCGGGTTGTCGCAAATTCCAGTCTGCATTCCAGACCTGTAAGGAGTACCCCATTCCCCGGGCAGGCCAGGCAGACCATAGCATGAGTGCTTTAGGCGACATGAGTCTGCCCGGCTGTTCAAGTCTCCGCCGGGGACCTTCCCAGGCTCAACGGGTGCACGGTTGACTGCCGCGCCTGCCCGTACTGCTGATCCAGGTAGCCGGAATTTGGAAACGCAATGCTGGTGCCAGCTCAGGAACTGCTTTCAAAAGACGGTTGCAGGTGGGCTGAAGGAGGTCAATTGCTGATGATTTCAGGATCTCTTTGGATTGTTCACGAGGCAATTCTCCAAGAAAGGTTGTGAAAGGGAGCTTCCTAGGTTTCTACTTACAAAGTCCCGTAGGTAAGTCGATGGCGCAGCATATAAAGGAGACGAGTTGTAAGGTGCGACGTTTGCAGCGGCGCCTATTGAAATTTTCATGCATTCTGGCCCCTGCACACGAGTCAAGTGCGGGTAGTAGCATTGTGCTTCTTTGAATGCAATTGTCCTTACATATTCGATGTGCCAAGGCAATTGACGGTCTAAATGTGCAGCAGGAATCTAAATGTGCCAGTGCAATGTGCAATGACGTCAGCTTCTTATGATCAACACTTGTCATTCTGTTGCTTTGGGTTTCTCATAAGGTTGCTCTTACTCCGCGTAGCTGCCACCACCTAGAATGAAATTGGCAAAAATACCAGTTGGATTGCACATTGTCCAGCACTTCAGCATTTCTACAGCCCCACAAGTATGTATGCCAAGCAATTGGGCATACAGCTCTTACAATACGCATCAGCTTTTCAATGTAAGACGATTCCTGCGCCTTTTTAGGTTATCCAGCTCATACGAATGGCAGCTCCTGAATGCACAACCATGTTTTGAATCTGTTCTGAATCAAGTGAGCGGCTGACACTGAATCGCTTTCCTGCAGGAAAGTAGGTTAGCAGCAATGTTTGAGCTCTCCCCTGAGCCAGTCGGTCCTTCTTTCTGTGAGGCTACCGAGGAGACAAAACGAAGAGCGCGGTCCGGGCTCTCAGCAGGGCCTTGCAACAGCATTCGTCTAGAGGACGTTAACTTGACACTGTCGGCAAAAACGCTGACAGCCGGGGCGAGTCATAAAGTGCGTAGAAGAGGTGTGAGGTTCTTCACACGGAGTGAGTGCAAGTTGACAGGTTGTTGCTCAAATCGGCGAGCACGACGAAGAGAGGAGAGGGGCTTAACAGAGACTATTGATCCAACTTTAGGTAGACTTCCAAAGAGCACTGTCAGTAGTCAAAGCAGTCCTCAACGTGCCGCGCGCCTGCGCCCCCAACCGTTTGCTGCCGTTTCTCTTTCACAGCCCCTCAATCAAATCCCTGGTTTCGAACAACCCTCGGTTCATAGTGCCGCCAACCTCCAGCCTTCTCAAGAAACAAAAACACAAGAAAAGAGGCAGTCAGCCGGTTCTCTAACCCAGGAACAAGGGGCAAACCTCCTTCAACACCTTGCCAAGGTCTCCATACCATGGCTACGGTACACCCGTTTCTCGGTTGCTCAGACGAGGGCAATCATGCGAAACATTCCGTTGCTCGAAAGAGCGGGGCTTGGGGCGCTGGCAGGGGGCTTAGCGGGGGGGTTTACAAATGCGACTTTGCATCCGCTTGACACCGTGAAGACGAAGCTGCAAACAAAGGGAGGGACTGCGCTGTATACAGGCGCGTGGGATGTTGTTCGAAAGGTAAGTTACGACATGGTGTAAACTTTTCCTTTTGCTTTGGGTTGTCACTGATCAAGGCATGGGCAGCTTACACCCCGAGTGATTAATCGCTTGAAATCCTTATTTTCAATTTGATACCGAAGTAGAAACCACTTGCTGACAGATTTCCTAGGTCCTTGTAAACAAGGCGCCCAACGCATGGAGTTCAGATCTCTGGAATCTGTTTCTCCATTCTGGGTATCATAATGGATCATGTAACCCTTCTTCATCCCCGGAAGTCCTGTATAAGTCTCCAACCCACCCCTTAGGTTTTTCCCAACCGGGGCATCGGCGCCGTCGCTTCTCACTCCTTGACATCTCATGACCCACGTTCAGTAAACCCTCAACATCTTAACCCCATGCCAAACCCGTATCCCCAGGTTCCTTCAGACCAAGGCCAGGAGGGCTTTGATCATCGGGACTATGGAACCGACTTCTTCCCCCCCTCTTTTCGCATGGGAAGATCAACAGAAAACCCTGTTCTCCGATCACTCCGCAGGTCCTCGCCAAGCAGGGCATCCGCGGCTTTTACCGAGGCCTCCCTGCCGCCGTCGTCGGCTCTATCCCCTCCTCCGCCGTTTACTTCGGCACGTACGAGCTCGGCAAGGAGCTCCTCCTGCGACTTCCCGCCTTCGCCAACAATCGACTCGCCGTCCCCCCTTTTGCGGCAGCGGTCGGAAACATCGCCTCCTCTGCGATCCTGGTCCCGAAGGAGTTGGTCAAGCAACGCCTGCAGGTGGGGTGTGAATTCAACCTCCCTGCATGTTCCGTCATACTGGGTCCGTTTCTGCATGGTTAATCAAACCTGGCCCCGATCCAATTAGCCCATAAGATAGGCCCAGTAATCAAATCACATTATTATGGTTATGGACATTCTAAATGCATCAACGTGCAAGTCTGTGTAACCATCCAGTATCTACGGCTTGGAGTTCTGCCAAGCATATTCTCCTCTGTGCCGCAATCCTTGGCCGTTACAGTAAGGAGCCTTCTTTGACGTGCGGAACGAGGCTGCCTGCAATTTCTCCGAGAACCGACGGTGTCTTTTCACTTTGCCTGCTCATATCAGTCCTGTACCCATTCTGAGCCACCCTTTCATACGCATGCAATCTGGTCTCTCCACAGGCAGGAGTGGCGGGGACAGCCGGGGGGGTCCTCGCAAGCATCGTACGGGAGGAGGGGGTGAAGGGTCTCTACCGCGGATACTCGGCGGCGCTGCTCCGAAACGTGCCGTCCAACGTCATCAGCTTCTCGACGTTTGTGAGTCACCGCTCTGCGTGTCACCTCGTCTTCCTTGTTTCCTCTTTGCTTGGAGCATCATTCTCAAGGGCTGTGTACGGACGGCTTGACACAGAGCACTGCAGAGACCAGCCAGCGTCGTGCAGAGACGCTTCCCTTCAGCCTTCTCCTTGAGTGCGTTCGCCTGCTTTTCAATGCTCGGCCGTTCGTTGGAATCGTTGGTGGAGGAAGCAGGGAACGACGTTAAGAAGTAGAGCATCTGCCCAACGTGGCTCGCAGCGACACCTTCGTAACAGGTACTAAACTGCCTTACGCTGCGTACTAAACTGCCTTACGCTGCGTACGAAACTGCATTACACTTCTTCCGAGCGACTGCCAGTTCAGCGTTTCCAGGCACTTGGTCGCCTCGAGGGACATGTCCCACGACCCACGCCCACGCTTGCTTATCAGGCTGGCTAGACAGGGTCTGGATGGGCGCATCGGACCCAACAATTCCCCTTCTGTTGGTACTTCCACCCTATCCGCCATCTTCCGAAAAGGCTTGTCGTGTTTCCTAAGGCACTCTCGAGGTCCCTTTGCAGGAGAATAGTCTCGTGAATCGAGCATTTTTTGATGCTTTGCGTATCTGTGGTTTTCGCTTTTCCCGGCAGCTCGGTTTGC